TTCATTCTCAACATTACCGACGGAACTTGTCTGTTCGTCTTGGTATGGGCACTAAATGGTGCTCAACGAGGATTGTACAGGGCACCTTGTGCAGGCCTGTAAATTCCTGTAAGCACATTGGCTTACTCGTACCATTTTGCAGCTTCACAAGTTTTTACAAGTTTCATCAGTGTGAAACGTGTTAGTTGACATGACGATGATGAGTTAGTAGAAGGAACGTGAAAATGCAAAGTTCCCCTCCCCCTCACCACCCCTAAGCCGAATAGAGCCTTTTTTTATTGTCAATAGGTTAATTTCACCTGCGTTCTCATGCATATTAGTTTGAAAGCGTGGCTGGCACGAGATGTCTTTAATTAAGATAAGAAAAACAACACTTTGAAAAAAGACTGGAAACAAGACTACTAGTAAGAACTAGCTAAGAGAATCCTCAAGCAAAAAGAGAGCTGAAGGGAAGTTAACGAATGTAGAATGGAGAATCATGCTAAGCTAGGCATGCAGTATAAGTACGAAAATTCTGAGCAAATACTACAGTAATGAGATACTGCTGGACAGAAACTTATGTTCTCAAACTAATCACGAACATGAAAGATCGGTTCGAAGTCTTCTGGGTCCAGCTCGATTGGTGAGTCCCAGAGCACTGTATCAGAAGATGAGGGATCATCCCTGCAAAAGAAAGATCATTGCGACTAACAATCACCAAAAGATGACGGTATGAACTGAGCTGGAGAGTTTGAACAAACAATTGTGAAGTGAAGCGGTGCAACTATTGCCTACCCATGAACCCAGAGGGAAAGTATCCAGGCGGTGGGTGTACTAGTTCGCCTACCTACGAGGCTAATTGAACTCTCCCCGAGCCTTTTTTGAGATCTTCCCCTGAATGTTTATGAAGAAAAAGCGTTTCTAATGGTTCCAGACTTCTTCTGCGAAGGTGCCTATGTTGAATTAGCACCAAAAAAGATAAATGTATAGAATCTTCGGTGGCGATATTCCTTTTTTATAGGGAAAGGGAGTTCTATTGCCTCTTATGTGTAGATTATATCTGTGAGCCTCTTATGTGTTAGATAGTATATCATGAGAACATCAGTAAATCAATCTCAGCGGAATGCTAGGTGATACAAGTGGCGAACTTTTTCATAAATTCATTAATAAAGGGGCGGATCCGTTGGGGGCGGAGTCAAGTGTAGTATTGAATTAAAGTCTATTCAAGGGTCTATATGTGTAATCGATGAATACTGTGAAAAACTTAGTAATAGTGCAGATAGTTATGTAAATGGTGTTTCACGGGAATGCTAAATTGTGCGCGGCAAAAAGGGGGGGGGGGCGGATAATCTTGGGCGGGCATGTAATGGCGTCCACGGTGACTCTTCGTGCAAGACGGTAAAAAAGAGCCCTTCGCGCAGAGAATCCTAAAAAATCCACTATTCATATGTTATTCATGCTAATCGTTTTTGAGGTAATTCTCCCCTCACACCTGTCGAAAGAGCGGTCCTATTGATCTGATGTCGCCTCGCCCAAAAAAAGCAATCAAGAAGAAAAAGATCAGTTGCTCCCAGGGTGTGCAGATCGTCACAACAGCAATGAATGAATCATACCGTTGTTCATAGATCTGAGACTGCTGGCATATCTCGTCCCTAGATGGTGGGCACCTTCTGTATTGTATGCTTTCGGCTTCTGGAGCCACAGCTGCCCTTTATGTGACAAGAGGATCGTAATTTGCCGCGCTGCTGGGCGTCGCGTGCGACGTCCCGCCCGCAAAGGACGATGGTTTCAGGCAGTAGATGGCGACAACATGCAATTAAGACCGAAAACAGATGAGTGACCTATCAATACGGGTCACATAAGTTCGGTGCCTCATTGATCAGGCTCAAAACAAAGTATGAAAACGCCGCGCCATTCGCGCTCGTGCGCGTGCGCGGCGAATTACGATCCTCTTTACCGTCTCCCAACGGTCCCCTCGCCATTACTGTAGATCCGGAAAAGATGGAGCAACGTCTGCGATTTCAGACGAGACATCTTGTACAAGGAAGAGACTCCGCCCATCGGGTGGTCGCGGAATGTATTATTCAAAGAGATATTTTAAAAATCTTACATTTGGAGAAGTGCCTTATCATTTTCTCTTGACGCGGTCTTCGTGCCTTTCACTTTCGTCCGATCTGACTCTTCAGAGTTCCTCCTTCGGAATCTTTTCTGAAATATTTTTGATATACGAAGGCAAATACATATTCCCGAAGGATGAAATAGATTGTAACATTTGTAGGGGTACTTAGCGTACAGAGTGACTTGTGTGGATCTGCTGAGTCTGGTAACAAGTGATCGACACCGGGAACTAGAAAGCTTAGTTGATGGAGGCGGTCTTTGATCTACAGATCACACGTGCGGTTGCAGCGCCATTTCCCATCACTCTACCACTGTTAGGAAGAAATCCTGTATTCCCTTGAGGCGACTTTTTGACCTAGTTTGGCCTTGTGAGTGCAGCCTCCTTCCTTGCAGTACTCACCCTCTGAGGTGAGACAGAGGTGGAGCGCGTTAATGGGCAGTTCTCTGTCTCCGCCCCTTCGATCAGCATAGAACATGCCTTCGAGACCTTCAAAGTTCAGAATCTAACCTGCGTAAATGCAGGTCAAAATGAGACCTATATGAGAGACCTTTGCTCATTGTTTCGTGGCACATTCTGTTTCTCTTTGTCGTAAGCAGCTGACTGTTAATTGTTTGCTAACTCACAACAGTGCCGGCACAACTCGTCCAACTACCAAAACCAGCCACGCCCTATTTTAGAATCTCTGGCTCATCTCGTCACTTTTTTTTGGGCGCACTTCGGCTGGTGGGAGCATCAAATGGTACTCAGCGGAGGCTTGTACAGGCCACCGCCTGCAGACTTGTGAATTCCTGTAAACTCATTGACTTACATGTACCGCTCCGCAGCTTCACAAGTACTAACAAGTTTCATAAATGTGAGACCTGTTAGTTGACATGAACTAGGAAAAAAGGACAAAGCTTCTCTCCCACTCCCCCCCCCAGCCGAACAGCACCTTTTTGCTGTCAGTGGGTCAACTAGTACGTGTGTTCATGCATATTAGTCCGAATGCGTGGCCAGCATGAGATGTTTTTAATTAGAATAAACCGAACAAAACCTTGAAAAAAGGCTAAAAACATGGCTACTGCGAGGAAAAGCTAAGGGAGTCCCCTAGCGAATAGAGAACCAAAGAAAAGTTAGCGATTTTGGTAGAAAAAAAGTTCATGCTACGCTATACATGCAATACTGATACTGTAATTTTGAGCAAATACTACGGTAATGCGATAGGTGCTATTGGACAGGTACTCAGACTAATTACGAACATGAGCCATCGGTTCAAAGACTTCTGGGTTCAGCTCGATTGGTGAGTCCCAGCGTACTGTATCAGAAGGTACGACCTGCATCGGGAAAGACATCCCTGCAAAGAAGAGGTATGTTGCGACGTGCAAACCAACTGAACTTCTGGAGTTTTCAAAGTGGCGCTTTTAGTGTCACTCCTGCTCACAACTGAATTTGTGGTACTCACCTAGCAACAGTGGTGGTACCTGGCTGAGAACGTGACAGGGAAGACGTCTCCGTCCGGGGACAGTACCTGAAGGCTTCGCAGTTACTTGGCATTCTGTAATTGAGCCATATTAAAAAAAGAGTGAGAATTCTCTCAGTTCATCGAATGTGGCTTATGGGTCTCGCCTCGCTCTTCTACGAATGTTCAAACCAATCCAAACAAGCGGAAACGAAGCCGCGGATTAGTCCTCCAATACAGTACCTCGTACGGCTCGTAAACCGGCCAAGTCTTCATGCCTGCCAGTTGGGGACATGGAGTGTTATCCAGAATAGGCCGACCCGCCAAGTCTACCTCACCCGATTGCTGTCTGCCCTTTAACAGTTATGGAGAAAAAGCGGCGTGGGCCGAACCCCTTTCTCCCCCTGCTTCCCTTCCTTCCCTCCTCCCTTCCTGCTTGGCCGACAAACGCCGGACGACTGCAACACAGGATACGCAATCGTATGATGAGAGGTCGTATTGTGACCGCGGAGGAGGGGGGGGGGTGGTATTTGGTCGTTGTTGGGAGAGGGACTGCCAAAGAAAATGGACAAAGTGATAGGAAATTGGGAAAAGCTAGGAAAGTGCTAGTAACTAAAGGGCGTCATATTTTAAGGTCAGGGCGGGGGTCGATTTTTTTAGGAAATCATCACAACGAAGCCATGCCTGCAGCAGCGCATGATCATCACGATTTTGCTGGTTTAGTTGGTTCGTGGGGCGCGACGACAATAAAGACACGTCTGGAAACCTTTGATTTATGGGTGAAATAGCCCAGGTGAGCTATACCTAGATGGACGGGCAAAGCACCTACTGGGCCATCCATGAACAGACCACGTCGTACGCGGGGGAATGCCCAGCGGGGGGGTCGTATTTGGTGTTACTGGAAATTTTCGGAAAAATTGGTAGAAAGCTGGGAAAAGTTGGAAAGGTTGGGTAGGCAGGGGAGGAGGGGGCGATTTTCCTCGGCGGCAGGACGTGCTCTGTTCGTGGGTCACCAGCTATCGAAGTCAAGCTTCTCTTCTCAACTCACCAACTTTCTTGCCCTTTTCTGCTTTCGAGTAGATGAACTGAGAAGCATAGTGGTAGCGTTCATATTTGGGACATCCCGAATACCACAATCTGGAAAAATAGGTCGATTGTGGAGAAATTTTGAATAAATATTGGAAGGCTACCTGCAAGTCTGTAGGAACAACGGCAGTGGAGGTGGATTGCAGAATTTCTGCACATACGGATAGGCGTAGTCACATTTGCAATCCGCAGTACAGTGGGGATAGATACGACGGTCGCAATCGGCGGTGCATGGTTTTCTAAAAGATACGCGCAGCTCAGGGTTAACTGGGCCCCGAAACAGTTTTTTTTCCGATCAACTCACTTGTATTTTCGTCTTTGAACCTTCTTTCTTCCTCCCCGTCCTCTTCCTTTCTGAAATGGAAGCAGAAATTGAAAGTCACATTCCGCGTTGATTGCGTGGGCGGAGACAGAAAGTTTCTGACTGACGTGCCTCTTTTCTGACAAGCCTTATGAGAAAAAGTACATCACTGAGGAAGGGAGTGTATTCTGTCTCCGCCCATCCGCTTACCACGGAATCTACTTCAGGAAATGATCGCCAAAAGGCATTACTATATGTGTCTGCATTGCTGTCGGGTATCGCTTTGCTTGACCCCACTCCCCATCTCTCTGCCGGATAAAAGCGAGGGATCTGGGGACCTAGGTCCCATGATATACCGTGTAAATCTGCCCCTCGATAAGGCGACGCAATTGCTTACTGCGCAAATTCGGCATAATTTTACCGCGTGAAGTCGCGCGACGAGCGACGATTTCGTGCGACCTTCACTCCATATCCCGGACATGAAGTGGGCGTGGCCTCGCTTCTCATGTGGACTGTACAAGCTTAAGTGAGGTCTATTTCAGTAGGATGCTGGGATGCTTCCGTCTTAGACATCTCTCGTCATCCTGTCCTGTGGTGGACAAAGACATGATTACATTTGTCTCAGAACGGGAATATTTCACTAAAGCACTGCCGTGGCCACGTTCAAATGGAGTACGCAGCCACGCCCTCCCCATCTCCGGGATAGAGTGTATTTTTCCGCTCTCCAGGTACGTGTCAACGACAAGGTAATTTGGTAGTATCGGACAGTTTTGCCGACATGCCTGGCGCGATCCTAGCTATAGAAAAACCAGTAGCAAATACGGCCTTGTCCGCGGTGGGGGGATGGGGCGTGTTAAGGGGATAGGTTTAGCCTAGCGCCTGCTCATTTTCTCTTTTTTCTCGGCAAGCTGAAGACCGCACTATATCGATCATTCACCACCAGTTGTCGCCTACCTGCTTCAAGTAGTGATGGAGAACGGGCTGGGCCGCGCAGCGGCAAGACCCCCCCCCCCCCCCCCTCACACACCTCTTCATCCGCAGTGAACAAGACGGTGTGGGTGGAAACGTACCCCTGATTTATCAATGTCCGGAAAATTGGCATCAACAATGTTGCCCGGTGCATTCGAATCTTCACCGGTGGCAACGTTTTTTGCGAACGGATTCGCCGGGCTGAAAAAAAATGCATTATTGGACCAATATTGCAGAAAATGGAAAAAGTACAGAAATGGATTTTCTGCCTACGAACTAACGCAGAGACAATAAAGCACTGCGTTTAGCGTGGAGATCTGTGCGTCGCTGCATTAGTTACGGGTCACATCATCAATGGAAAGTTTTGTTGAAAAACGGGAATTCGGGCATTGTTCGACCTGGAGGGGGCACTTTACGCAGCGCATTTTGTTGGTTCAGCTAACAATAAGTAACGGTCCCACTTGGTCAATTTTCTGTGAGCTTCGTGTGACGTTTGAGAAATTTGCTGCGCAATGCTGGTGCCTCACGAGCCCAATTGTGCCAAAATTGCGATTTTTTAACTGGCGTTCATACTAAACAGCCAGTTGCTTACCCGTTGACTGCAGCAGTGTGTCAGCTTCATTGGAAGGCCTCCAGAGTGGGGGGGGAGGAGGTGTAGTGCGTAAATCTACCTACATACCTTTGAGGATTATCTCGGCAACTTTTCTTGTAGGACGGGCAGAATTGTGCCGTGATTTCTGGATTATCGGTGTCTCCTGTGCAGTAGTACTCATAATTGACTCCGAACTTATCGCAGTACTCTTTGCGAGTGCCTTTGAAGCGATAGATTCCGGTACCGGCGCCGGAACTCATCCCCCCTTCTCTATCGCCGCCTGAGTCGTCACCCTAGAAAAATGTCATTTGATTCTTCACATCAGTTGCTATTATAGGTAGCTACCGGCTATAACTAGTACTAAAGTTGCATTTAGTTTTGTTGAGATTACTTCCAGAGCTGCTGAGTTCAGCCGCACGATCAATACATATGGATTGCACTATGAGATCGCTTTAGTCGCGCGACTAAAACTGCAAACTCTGAAGCAACTCAACAAACACTTAAACTCTCACATCGCAGTAAATCGAAGAGAACAGAGAAAGCGCTACAGTAACCAATGTCGATAGATTCCTATTAACTAAATTAATAAATAATTTTAGTAATTCTTAAGAAAAGATGAGAAGGAAGGCTCTGAAAAAAAGCGAATGAAAACTAACGTGACGTCATCAATGTTAAGTGAAAATTTTTTGCAGAAATGTCCAGTAGATTAGCACTTCGCTTGGAAACATTTTTTCCTCAGGGGCGTTATAGAATGAAGCTCCGATCTGAGTAAAGCATCAATAAAAGCATGACAGAGGCCAAGAAGCACTGGTGGCGGTTGGGAGGTCCGTCTTGCGGCGAAGCGGCGGAAGGGGCTTTGAAAATTACATAGGCTGTTCAGCGTTTGCACCAGGGTTTTATTTACACTAGTGTGCAAAACTTAGGGACGAAAGCAACTTTCAATTACTGTGCCTCTGCCAGAGAGAGAACCTTAACGATATTGTACAGAAAGCAACTGACAGAAACTCGGAATAAGACGAATTGTTATGACATTTTTATTCAACCATGTCGATTACACATAAGTCTTCAACCATTTATCCTGGTACTACAAAAGAAGTTACACGGATCCTAATAGGGTGTGTGATCACCACGGACAGCAATACATGCTCTGCACCGCGATCCCATACTCTCCACGAGGTTGGTAATGAGTTCCTGGGGCAGGGCATTCCACTCCTCAATCAGTGCATTTGACAATTGCTGGATCGTCATTGGTGGCATTGTTGGTCGTGCTGCAATGCGTCTACCCAGTGCATCCCACACGTGCTCGATGGGATTTAGGTCGGGGGAACGGGCGGGCCACTCCATTCGCCGGATATCCTCTCGTTCTAGAAGCTCCTCCACCTGTGCTGTTCGATGCGGTCGCGCATTGTCATCCATGAAAATGAAGTCAGGGCCGATTGCAGCTCTGAAAAGACGGACATGATGTAGGAGAACCTCGTCGCAGTAACGCTGACTGGTGAGGGTTCCATGCTCAAAAATCTGGAGGTCAGTACGGCCATGCAACATGATGCCTCCCCATACCGTAGCACCGGCCCGCCCGGGCCAGAACTACTTCGACCACGCATGTGATCACGTTCGACAATGTTTCCGGGGGAGTTGCGTGTTCCCACCTCTCGCCATATGAGGGTGCGTCCAGAATCACTGCTCAGACTGAACCTGCTCTCATCCGAAAAGAGCACACGGCTCCATTCCTCATCGGTCCATTCGCCATGCTCCTGGCACCACCGTAAACGGTCTCGCCGATGCGCGGGGGTCAAAGGAACACAACGTAACGGTCGTCGGGCGAAGAGACCACCACCATGCAGTCGTCTTGCCACTGTAGTGCGTGAGATGGCTTGCCCTAGAGTCCTGTTAAACGTCGTTGCAATAGCCGAAGCCGACTGACGAGGATCTCTTCTTGCCTGCTGCACAATGTAGCGGTCGTCCCTTGGTGTAGTTGTCCTTGGTCGGCCACCTCCTCGTCTTCGGGCAGCAGTACCAAAGGTTCGGAACGCTCTCCATGCACGTGAAACAACGCTGTGAGCGATACCGAACTCCTGGGCTACACTCGTCATGGTTCGACTTCTGAGTTTACCTATGATCCTTCCTCGAGTGAAGTCATCCAGATGCTCTCTTGACATGATGTATCGAAGGATACTACCACAGTTCTTTGCAGCTACTCGTTGATTGAGAAAAAATTTTTTTCATACCCGTAGACTGCCTCGATTTGCGCGGTCGGCCATATTTGGCACTTTATTCAAGCTCTTCTTCCACCGAGAAAAGTCTAGCTTCCTGTGCATATCCCTTAGGCGAGTGGCAACATGCTCCCACACTTTCATTTACTTCCACCCAGTCATTAGTGTTTTATGTTACTTTATCCATCTCGTCCCTAAGTTTTGCACACCAGTGTAATTAGTGCGAGCGTACCTCGTGTGTCTATGTTTGACATTTAGGAAGCTCTCTTGTTTTTTTTTGCAGGGCATAGGGTGCCCTATGGAATGATCCCAACCGCATAGAGGAAAAGTGAGGGTAGTTCGCGTAATAAGTAGTGTCGTTGGGAAAAAATGTTCGCTTCCATATATCCATGTTTTATGCGTAATGCATGCAGGTTTTGATTTATTCATTCATTCAATTATTTGCCCGCCTTTCATATGCACACATATGGGATAAGGGTCAAAATCACAAAGATGCTCTTAATCGGGTCAACGAAGCCTTTCATCCATGTGGGAAGCTTGTTATTAGACTATTCTGGGAGGGTAAACATACCCCTCCTTTCACCACTCATTCCAACCAAGTCATTATGAGTCCGGATGTATCTCAAAAGTGGAATCCTGGACAGGGTCGCATCGCCAAGCGGAGCACATCATTGGTTTGGGGATTTTAGTCGCAGTCCATAATGATCACTCCCTTTTATTTGGGGGGGGGGTTTGTACGACCCTCCCTCCTCCCCCACCCCCTCCCCCCCGCTCCGGCGCCTTCTGTCCTCTCATCAATGCAGCCGTCGAGCAGGAGGGGGGGGGTTAAAGCAAATGTGAAACAGGAAAAGCCGCGAGGGCAACAGCGACTCCCCCCTTCTAGCCAATTCTCAGACTTTTCCGCAACTTTCTGCACTTCTTCCAGAAATTTCCCAAAAACTATTCCCTACTTTTCCCCAAAAATTTTGCTGACGAGCGGGGGCGGGTATATAATGAAACAGGAAAATCACGAAAAGTCAACCACCACTCCCACCACTCCTAGAAAGGCCAGAAAGTAAATACGACCCCCCCCCCCCTCCCAACAATGAGCAAAGTACGAAGCGCCACCCCTTTCAACGTCTGTGAGCGAAAAATCAGCTAAATCAAAATAAAATTTTCTCAGCCCCAATACGACCCCCCCCTCCTGGCTGTCAGATACGACCCGCCTGTTGGGGAAAAAACGATGTACCCTGATTCAAAGGAGCCACTAGTCAACCCCAGGTGCTCCCTCGTGGTTCCGTTAGATTGAGTGTTCTGGTAAAAAAATAAAAAATAAATAAGAATATTTACTTCATCCGAAGAGAAACAGCTCCTTCTCCGCTGTCAAATGATCAGTTAGAAACAATAACTCAAGGCATGGGAACGGATAGGTGCAAGGAACACTGACGTCATTGTTCACCCAAGACTACCTAACTGTAATGCACTGAAAACAACTGGGAACATGTTTAAAGTGCGCAGTAATGAAGTAATAGTACCATCCAAAAATAGTTCTAAAAAGTTTGCACTAATGAGTAAGACTTCAGAGATCAAATTGTCTAGGTCACTGTGTTCCAATGGCTTGGATTTTCGTAGGTGGCGGCCCAGGGCGCAGCTCGGCGACGGAAGGGGGGTATTTTGCTTCCCGTCAATGTGTCACCCATCTAGATAGCCCTTTACTGAGTTGACACGTCTCACCATGGCGAGCTTGCTCCAGCTTCATAACAGTTCACAAGTTTCACAAGAGTGGACTTTAAACCGGAAAGTAGTGGCAGCATGTGGAAAGTGAAAATGGCCCCGCCCCCCCTCGTCGGCGATCTGTGGGCGGATAGTTCCTACAAAGATACCGTGTCTTGACTGAAAATAAATTAAGAGGCTTATTTTGCGACGACTCGCGGGACTGAATCGGCGCGTGCGTCAATCCCTAGCTGACTCTGATCATATCTTTTGCGTCAGCAGTCAGATTCTGGTGGCAAATGTCGTGACGGATCACGCATACAACGCCGCCTTCACCTCGGACCTTCTAAAGCGAAACATTGTAGTGTTCCCTCGCCGTTTTGCCGTCAGGGTAAATTTCGATCTCATTGCTCTTATGGGGGTTTCCCAATTACCGGCAGATAATCTGCGCCTCGTTGTAGCGTTCCAAGGTAGAGCTTAGAAAATTAGAGATTTGTAGGCAGGATCATTTAGGAGATTTCGGCTGAAAAAATCCTAAGATAGCGGCCATAACTCGCATTCGGCGACATAGAGTCGCAGGCGGGACCGTCGACTATTTGCCCTCCTCCAGGAGAGGGGGAGGGGTAAACCCTTTGTGACCGAATGTGGTTATCTTCGGAAGAAAGTGTAAGGGCGTCCAGACACTATCCTGCAAATGAGAGAGTGAAGGGGCATGAATTTAACCGTAGCCAGGTGAGCCTTTTTCCGCCCTTTTGGTGTGGGATCAGATGGTAATCAGTCGAGGGGAAAAGGCGCCCTGGCTGCGCTCCAATCCTTGCCCCCTCACAGGCCCTCTCGTTTGCAGCGCATAATGGACCTGGTCAACATGAATCAAAAATGACGGCACTACCTCGTGGACAACGGCACGTCCTGAGAACGACTTTGTTCCCCTCTCGCCGCCCCAAGCCCATCGGAGACTATCAGAACCAGTAAAATTGACACGCCGCTGATAGGGGGGTATAGGCGCTGTTCGGCGACGGGGGGGGGAGGCATTTTGGCAGCTTCCTTGTTTCACCAGTTCCGTTACCATAGGTCCTCACTCAAGAGAACCTGTAAAACTTTGCTGAAGCTAGGAGAAGCTCCATCCGCCACCATTTTAAAAACCTACTAATTTTCAAAAGGCTCGCTCGATGGCTCGTCAGTCTATGGAAAGTGGCAAAAAGACAAAATGCCCCCCTCCCTCTAACTGCGCCGGGGTATATAGTGCGTCTGAAAGGGAGCTTTAACAACCAAAAGAACTTTCCGCTGGGCCAGCGACGAATATGACCCCCCCCCGCTGGCATTTCACAGTAGGCGTGTTCCGTTCGCTTCCTGAACTCCGGAAGTTGCCGTAACGTACACCTACCAAATCTTAGTTTACCAACCGAAGTCTTTTAGCGTCAATTTGCGGTACAGCTTGATGATCCATTGGCACCTTCCATATTTCTCCTTCTATTTTTTCATTCTGGGCGTAGTTCGGTTTTGGTGGGGGGTGCACTAATGGTATTCAGAGGAGCTTGTACAGGCTACATTGTCAAGACTTGTGAGTTCCTGTCTCTGAAGTAGTTTACTTGTACCAGTTCACACCTAGGGTTTGCAGATCTCACAAAATAGAGTCCTGCTAATTGACATGAACCAGTAAAAAACTCCCTTTCCAAGCCGATCAGCTCCTCATTTTGGGCCTCATTGATGACGTCACCACACTGAACTTTCATTAAGTAGCTAACTAGTCTACAACTATCC